GGACTGTAGGGGCAAGTGTGTAGCCCAACTACGAAACTCATGCGATAGTCTATGAAAGAGGTATCAACGACTGGAGGAGTAAGATAATAGTGGTAAGGAAAGGAGAAGCGATTGAAGTAGAACCAAAGATCTTACTGACAGAATGCATATGGAATGTGAAAAAAGAAGAATCAATGACGACTCCTACGCATTAGAGATGAGTGACAGGAAATATCGATGGTGCCATCTACTGAAACAGGCCAAGGATGAAGAAAAGAGGAGGTTTGGGTAAGAAAACCAAGAACCATTTACCTCAATAGCCCATATTAAAGATAAAGAAACTGATGCACTGAGTATCTAAGCAAGTAGCCCAAAGTCACTGCTGGTAAGCAGCAAAGTTAGGAACTGAATTCAAGCAGTATAGTTCCAGAGTCTGAATGCTTAGTGCTAAATTGTCTAGTAAGACTGCAAGGGGAAAAATGTCAAAAGAATTTCTAGACTGAGCCTAAAGCTTGGTTCAACATTTGGAGGTCACAAAAGGAGAAGGCAAAAAGACTAAAAAGGAGTTAAGCAGCAAATTAGAAAAAGTTTGGTGTCCTGGAAACCAACTGAATCAAGTATAGCAAAGAGGAAAAGTAAGAGATCAACAAAGAAATAGACTAGGAATTGACCATTAGATTTGGCAAGATGGAAGTCACTAGGGACTGTGAAATAAAAGCTTGATGAAATAAGTTGTTACAATTCAACAGTTGAACTGAGCAAGAAATACAACATCCAAAATAAGATTCATTTATTCAATAAATGTTTGCTAAATGTTTTATTAGTGCCAGACACTGGTCTACATGCTTGGGATTCAGTACTGAGCGAACCAAAACTCCCTGTCCTCTTAGAGCTCACGTTCTAACAGCGCATTTCAGCATTTCTTCCAGGAAAAAGCTATGACCAGTATTTTGCCTCTTTGTATAAAATGTTCCATTATACAAATCAGATACTGAATTTCTGATTCACCATTTCAGCTTATAAATAAAGCTTAAAACAGTTAATTTTGAAGAAGTACATACACAACGTTGTTATAATTAAACCAAGTGAGTTAGTAGGACACTTTAATGTCACAGACTCATTGATGGGCAAAGGGAGAAGGAATGTTGTTAAATTTATTCACACACCATATTCTACATACCATACTAGCAATAAAATTAAAAAAGAGTAAAAAAGAGTCTATTGGACTTTATCCAAAGATTATTTACTGGGAGTCTCTGACAAGTCTCCTCAGATAATCTTTCATGATATTTTGATATATGGATCATCTGGAGCAAATTAATCCAAGTACCAGAACTGGAGCCTGCTTATGATGCTCGCTCTCTCTCTCTCTCTTTCTCACCCCCACCGCAGGCACACATTCTCTCTCCTTCTCTAAAATACAATTTAAAAAAAAAAAAAGTAAGCTTTCCTGGAACAAAGAATGTTCCTATGCTCAAGAAGCTTACTGCCTAGTAACCTCAAGTGAGACATTCTCAACTGAACATTTATTAGGCACCTACTATGTTGCAACTAATAAATTAATTACGGAATATAGTACAGGATATAACTGTCTTTAGTACTAAATAATTTGGTTAAGAATGAAAGTATTGCAAGAGTTTGAAAAAGGGTGACGATTGCAGTAGGCTTAAAGAGTGGTTCTCAGCTGGGAGCTATTTTGTGCCCTCAAGAGACACTGAGTAATGTGTCAAAACTTTTAAAATCATGGGCGGAGGAGAGCAGGCAGCAAACTGGTCTCTGCTGGGTAGAGGTCAGGCCTGCTGCTAAACACCCTCCACTGCCCAGGATAGACTTCCCTACACTGCACACATTAGGCTTCCTTAAGAAAGACACTTATCTGGTCCAAAATGTCAGTAGTGTCACTACTAAGAAACTTTATGCTAGAGTAACCAGGAAATGACTCAAAAACAAGTTGGATTCTGAGATGGCCCTTAATCATGAGCACATGAAGAAATCTGGAAAACATAACAGAAGTGAAAATATGAAGGCTGAAGGAGCCTGTGTTTGAACTAAGTGATGGAAGTACTGGGAAAGAATTCAACTTTAAGAAATTTATTTAGGGGCACCTGGGTGGCTAAGTCAGTTAGGCGTCTGACTTCAGCTCAGGTCACGATCTCACGGTTTATGAGTTCGAGCCCCATGGCAGGCACTGTGGTGACAGCTCAGAGACTAGAGCCTGCTTCCGATTCTGTGCCTCCCTCTCTCTCTGCCCCTCCCGTTTGCCCTCTGTCTCTCTCTCTCTCTCTCTCTCAAATAAATAAACTTAAAAAAAAAAGAAATCTATTTAAACCCAATAGGAACATCTTCAAAAAGTCAGTAGGACCTAAAAGTGAATGTAGATGAAAACTAGATGATATACAGCCATGAAAACTAGATAAAAGTTCTGGAAACTGAAAAGCAGATATGAAGAAACTGGTTCAGGAGTCAAGCATCTGACTCCTGATTTCAGCTCAGGTCATGATCTCAATCAAGGTTTGTGAGTTCCAGCCCTGCTGGAACTCAAACAGGCAGGGCCTGTTTGGGATTCTCTCTGTTTCTCCGTCTCTCTCCCCCTATCTGCCCCTGCCCCATCCCTCTCTCTCTATTTTTTTTTTAATGTTTTATTTATTTCTATCAGAGAGAGAGAGAGACAGCGTGAGCAGGGGAGGGTCAGAGAGGGTGTCACAGACTGAAACAGGCTCCAGGCTCTGAGCTGGCAGTCAGCACAGAGCCCAACGAGGGGCTCGAACCCACGAACCGAGAGATCATGACCTAAGCGAAAGTCGGACGCCTAAACGACTAAGCCACCCAGGCGCCCCCCTCTCTCTTAAAATAAATAAACCTGGGGCACCTGGGTGGCTCAGTCGGTTAAGCGTCCGACTTCAGCTCAGGTCATGATCATATGGTTTGTGGCTTCCAGCCCCCCATCATGCTCTGTGCTGACAGCTAGCTCAGAGCCTGGAGCCTGCTTCAAATTCTGTGTCTCCCTCTCTCTCTGACCCTCCCCTGCTCACACTGTCTTTCTCTCTCAGAAATAAATTTTAAAAAATTTTTTAAATAAATAAATAAACCTAAAAAAAATCATTTTGAACATTAGCCCTAGAAGTGACTTTAATGTTATAAAACTGCTTGAGAGCAGCAACTGCATCTTATTTATCACTCTTATGTTCCTGAGGCAGTATCCTGTGCACACGCTGCTTCCTTGACTTGTGATGGGGTTAGGTCTCAACCCACACCAAGTTGAAAATATCCTAACTCAAAAATGCACTTAATATACCTAACCTACACATCTTAGCTTAGCCTACCTTCAGTGTGCTCAGGAAACTTACATTAGCCTACCTTTGGGCAAAATCATTGAACATAAAGCCTATTATAGTAAAATGTTGCATACCTCATGTAACTTAATGCGTGCTGTACTGAAAGTGAGAAACAGAATGGCTATATGGGTGCAGAACGGTTGTGAGGTCATGAGTGCGTGGCTGACTGGGAGCTGCAGATGGGAGCCACGCATCACCAGAGAGGATCATACTGACCGCATATGGCTTTCCTGGGGAAAAAGCCAAATTCAAAATCCAAAGTACAGCTTCTACTGAATGCATATCTCTATCACACCATCCTCAAATTGAAAATCGTTAGGTCGAACTATTGTGAGTCAGGGATGGTCTGCACTGTGGGCTAAGTACCTACTGAATTAAACACAATTGGCCAGTTATTTATTAAGTATTCTTGGCTATCTCCAAAGTTCCAGCCACTGCTGATTTAGGACATTCATTTAAACTGGAACTAAAAAGAGCTATCATTTAGTAGGTGACTATTACAGAAAGGCACTCTAGCAGACCCTCTACACATTTTATTTCACTGAATCACAAACAGAAGGTGTCTTCCCACTCGTTAAAGATGAGCACACTGGGACTCAAAGAGCTTAAATGACTTGCCAATGATTTCACTACAAGCTAGGCGGTGGCCAAGCAAACCCTTTTCTAGTTTTAACCCAAACCTCCAAGACTCAGTGACATGCTCTAAGGAAGAGTTAAAAAGCAAAATTCAACACCTACCTTTTGTTATTAAATTACACTAGAAAATATAAAGCAACTCTAAAAGGGTGTCCTTATTATTTCTTCACTACAGTAAATAGGGTATTTGGCTTGCTTTCATTCCACACTTACATGCCAAAGTAGTTCCCAAGTGCATTCAAACCACCTCAAAATTCTTCTCTAGGAAACTCAAAGTCCTGTAATTATTACCCTCTGACCAAAAACAAACAAGAAACTAACCTGTTGAGTTGCTACGCTCCGTATGGAAAACCAAAGATTCAGAAAACAGAAAAACAAAACAAAAAAGGCATTTCAAGATCAAAACAAATTTGCCCGTTCAAATTTCAGGTTCTCTTCCACCCTCCTAAAGTACTGAGACCCAGGCTTTAAAAAAAAAAAAGAAAAATGCAGCACAAGGGATCTGGTCCTAAATTCGGTTTCAGCTGTTTCCGAGTATCCTATTTGCATCTCTCCTAACACCTTTGAGAGTCAACCTTTAACCAAAGCTCTCTCCTCTCTACAATTACCAAAAAAAAAAAAAAAAAAAAAAATTTTTTTAAGCCCCTAAGGAAGCTAATAACCTAAAACATTCTCCTATTCCAACCGTTCATTTGTCCAGAGAAACACTTTATTGGAGGGCTTATCATCCTACCCCAGGTGACAGACTGCTCAGCTCTCAACTCTCTTCTTCCAGAAGCACCGTCCCAGCACCAGATGCTACGCCAGCTGTTCCTCCCAGGCCCTCCACGCCAGAAGCAGTCCTTCAGAAACCCACAGCCCTAGTTCAAGGCCCATTTCACAGGTTCTCTGAGTTCCCTTTCTTTCCAAAAGAGTGAGCCAAGCCCCCAACCGCCTCTAAACTCCTGGAGGAGGAGCCTCAGGAAAGGGGAAGCCCTCGGCCCCGGCCAGCGGGGCAGGGTGGGCTTGCACTCGGGCGCGGGCTGAACAGGGAGCGGCAGAAGCACTCACCAACATCTTGATCGAAGGGATTGGTGGCAAAGAGAGGCATCTCCGCTGCGTGCCCAGGCGTCCGCGGGGACTCCCCCTCGACACCACGGGAGTCGGGGAGCGACCTAGGGAGGGAAGACTCCTCGGGCAAAAACAGCAACAGCGACGGACTCCACAGGCTGGGCGACAGCTCCACCTCTCCCCGACCCCCAGCAACCGCGGCGGCGGCGGCGGCGGCAACAGCGGAGGCGCAGACAAGGCCCCCACCCCGCGCGGAGCCTGTCGGGAACCTGGGCGACTTCGGCACTGCCTGCTCAGAACCTGCCCGGATCCGGCCCCTCCAAATCAGGCCCCACCATAAAACCCCTCTCCCTGACCCCCACTTTTGATCGGTCGTACGCCAGAGTAGGAATAATGCCTGCGCTTTCTGCTTTTGCTTTGGCCAAGAGTCTCCGGAGGACGGGGTCCTCCAGGCGCGCCGAAGCCGACTACCAAGCCCAGGCGTGAATCAGAGACTGAGAAAGAAAAAGGGTCGCGTGAGGTGTGAAGCCAACCCCGTGGTCGGCCCTTGCTTGGTCGGTTGTCATCACGTTACAGTCCCTGTTGAGGGGGATGGAAATTCCTTCGGGGGGGGGTGAGGGGGTCATCTAAGTCAAAGAGCCGTGAGTTCAGTTCGCTGCCTGAGGTGACCAGAAACTTGGTGGGATGGAGTCATGTGAGCTGAACCGATTGGCCCGAATCCTTGAAGAGGGGAGTGTCGGGGCGCGGGCTCCCTCCGAGAGGCTGAGGTAACGCTGGCACCTTCCCGAGAGTTCCCGGACGCCTGGCTTCTAAATCTCTGTGGAAAGCACTTCTAGCTGGGCGTTGGCGCTACTGACTAACTGTGCAGTCACTGAGCAGTTGTGGCGATTGGAAAACTAAGTTTCACGCCCCTGCAAGGTCTGCGATAGCCGTCCCGCCCCCACCCCCCGCCCTCCCTTCCGAGACCCAGCAGAAATCCAGAACAAACCCGAGAAATGGAGCTAGAAATTGACGAGGGATTCCTAGCAACTTAAAATGCTGATTGAGTAACTTTAGGTATTTAACACGCTGTGTCTGTGTCATGTAGATATTCAGGCGCATCGAGAGGTTTTGTGTCCCACTAGGAACGAACTTAAGAGTATCTTGCACATAAGTTGGAGTTATGTGAATTATGCCTCAATGAGAGCACGTAGGAATGTATCGTGTAAACAGATATTTACAACTTGTCAGCGACAGGATCGGTGTGCAAAAATCCGCTAAGAATGAAATCTTTGAACCCAGCAATTCTCCTTTTTGGAATTTAGCCTAAACACAGTCTTAAAGACATGAACACGGATCGATATTCATGGCAACGTGGTTTATAAAATCAAAGCGTTGTTAACCACGAAAATGGCCAATATTAAGAGGTTGTATAAATTACATCACCTCCTGGTGCTTCAATTTTCTCATCTGTGAGAAGCAGAATAATAAAAGGGTTGTGAGGATGGGATGGATTAATAGAAACCAAGCCCTTACTTAGGTGCATAGCATATAGTAAGCACTAAATAAATGTAAGAAGCCATTATAATTAATATTGGCCAAGTAAATCATAGTACACACAATGTAAAAACTCCCCGACTGTTAAAGGTGATTATGTAGATCTGTATTTACATAGACATCTAAATACGTAAGTTCTTAAAAGCAGGGGTTACAAAAACATGTAAAATGACAAAATACTCCCAATTTTTAAAGCCTGAAAGGAAAATACATGAGAATATTATGACCTGGCTATCCGAGTGGTAAGATTTGAGATGATTTTTTGTTCTTTATGGATTTTATGTTTTCCAAATATATTCATGATGAGCCTCTACTTCTTGCAGAAGCAGAAAAAGTTAAAACACAACAGTGTAAAATATGTAGTAAATTAGGAACACCGGTTCTTAACATTTTGAGGAGCCAGTTCCTAAAGCTTGTTTGTATTTCATGATGGCAAGTATCAAATTATTTTAAGACATCACTATCGACATGAAAAGCAGAACACTCTCCCTAAAACTGGTTCTTTATTTTTATTTTTTAATGTTAATTTTATTTTTGAGAGAGCGAGACAGAGGGCAAGCAGGGGAGGGACAGAGAGAGAGGGAGACACAGAATCCAAAGCAGGCTCCAGGCTCTGAGTTGTGTGGGGCTTGAACTCACAACCCGTGAGACCATGAACTGAGCTGAGTGCTTAACTGACTCAGGCACCCCTAAAACCGGTTCTTGATGACTAGCCTCATAGAATCAAGTAACAACTTGTCCCTCTTAAGTCCCTGAGCAGTGTCTGGGGCATATTATCATAATCGCTCTGCATCCAAGCTGAATATTTGTAAAAATGCATTTGGACGTGCTTTGTACTTCCGTAAGGAGACTGACTTCGCTGTGTTGCCGGCAATAAGCTAGTGATCAAATTGTGCAAGCCTTGGTCTTCAATATGTACAAGCATTGGGATTAGGAAGGAATTAGTCTTGATACCATTATTCTTGTCTTCTAACCTAAAAGAATTACTTCAGCTATTTGGGGACTTTATGATTAATATATTATAAATAATAAACATTTTTAAATGTAGAACTTTTAATTTTATTGTTATGTTTAACATAAAAGTCAAATATAAAAACCTAAATGGGTTTGTATGTTGAGGTTAGCTTCCTGTTATCCCTTAAAACACTGAAACTGCAGGAGTTGGCACTTTTAAGATGACCAAAATTTTTAAAATACAGAGACTATATATCATATAATTTCTATAAAATATGTGTTTACTATATTCTGTAAATTATTTTAATGGTTAACTTTAAAATGTTAAATCCTCTTGTTTTTGGTTTCATATTGAAAATTCTTCTACATTAAAAAATGATAGCTGTGGCAACTGGGTGTCTCATTCGGTTAAGTGTCCCACCTTGGCTCAGGTCATGATCTCGCAGTTCGTGAGTTTGAGCCCCGCATCAGGCTCTTGCTGACAGCTCAGATTCTGTGTCTCCCTCTCCCTCTGCCCCTCACCCTCTTATGCTCTGTCTTTCCTTCTCTCAAAAATAAACATTAGAAAAATAAGTAAATAAAAAAATAAAAAGTGGTAGCAATGTACAAATGGAGTTATTCCAGGAAATATCTATAATTTTAAAGTTTAGGAAAAGAAATATCCCAGGAAGATTATTCACACTAGTTCATACCTCAGCATCTCTTAGATGAATTATTACATCCACCTCCTATGTTTTTCTACTTTCTTACTGTTACGGACTGATTTGCATCCCACCCAGATTCATGTTAAAGCCCTACCCCCAAAGTGTGCCGGTATTTGGAGATGAAGCCTTTGGTAGATAATTCAGTATTTAGGTTTAGATGAGGTCCTGAGGGTTGGGCCCTCAGGATGGGATTAGTCCCTTTTTAAGAAGAGGCAGCAGGGAGCTTAGTCTTTTTGTCTTGTGAGGACACAGAAGGGAAGCCAGAAATAGAGTTCTCACCAGAACCTGACCATGCTGGTGTCCTGATCTCAGACTGCAGCCTCCAAACATAAGTTTGTTGTTTAAGCCTCCCAATCTATGATAATTTCTTATGGTACCAGAGTTGACTGATACACCTACCTATCTCCAAACCATGCTCTAAACCCCTGCCGGAATGATTGTTATAACATGCAAGCCTGATTGTGTCATTCCCATAAAATTCTCACAGTTATTCAGTCCATATTTATTAACACTTCATGTGTGCCAGGTACCATTCTGTAGTCTGGAAATAACATAAGGATGAATGCTGTATATGAGTTAACCTTTTTTGGAATGTATTCTATGGGGAATACAGTCATTAAATAATTAATTGCATGATTATAGGTATGTGAAGGAGTTTCCTGCCTTCAGGATTAAATTCTGATTCTTTAGCAATTATATCCTTACTGAACCGGCCCCTGAGTATCTCATCTCTTCAGTCTTTTTTCATAGCCTCTCTTCTAACCTTTTTGATGTTCCATCATTTCCCTATCTTCAAAGAAGCAAGTTTTTCTGCCTTTCCTGCTCTAATTCTATATCTTTTCTAGATCTCTACTCAGATTTTACTTCCTTTACTGGGCTTTCTGGACTCAGTACCAGACCAATAATATGCACATAATAAATACATGTTAATGAATTGATAATTGGCCACCTCTGTCACAGCACTTAGTGGCGTTATATTTATTCCAAGTGTCTTTAACTATATAAAAACCACTCCAAACTGGTGTTAAGGCAACAATAATCATTTCTTTTGATTACAGATCAGAAATTGAGTCAGTGTTCTTTCTGCAGGACACATTCCTTCTCTTCCACAGTGTCAGCAGGGGTGCCTCAAAGGCTGGAATGACTGCAAACTGGGGTTGCAGAGCTTTTGCATTTATGTGTCTGGCAATTGCCGCTGGCAGCTGTCTAAGTCCCTGGGGCTGTCAGCTAGAACTACATGGCACCTCCTCTGTGTCTGCCTGGTTTCTCCCAGCATATTGGACCGAGCATTCCAAGAGACAGGAAGACCTGGCATAGGAAATGGGCACAGCGTCCTTTCAGTCCTATTCTATTGGACAAACAGTCACAATGTCTATAGTCAAGGGCACAGGAAATAAAACCCAATTCCTTTTTCTTAACTTAAAAAAAATGCTTATTTACTTTTGAGAGAGCGAGCGAGCAGGGGAGGGGCCGAGAGAGAGGGAGACAGAAAATCTCAAGCAGGCTCCAGGCTCTGAGCTGTCAGCACTGAGCCTGCCACGGAGCTCGAACTCATGAACCATGAGATCATGAACTAAGCCGAAGTCAGAGGCTTAACCAACTGAGCTACCCAGGTGCCCTAAACCCAATTCTTGATGGAAGGAGTATTGAAGAACTCGGGGACTATATTTGAAAGCTACCACAATAGTGTAACATTTTACTTGTTTGTATAGCATTAGTCTGTAACTAGCTTATCTCTAGATTTCCACACTAGGTGTCCCATAAATATATGTTAAATATGCTAAAGAAAGATAATGTGTCATGATTACAGTAGCACATTTCCAATGGTATACTTATCAACCATAAGGGAGTAACAGGATATGGACTTATCTTTTTACCATAACCAAGCAGAACACTGAATAAAATATATGACACAGTTGATTTCAAACATGAGACAACAGACTGTAATCCCAAGGAGAAAGGGAACATGCATGAGCCCTGTGATTGCTATAGCTTTCTGCCTAGAGTCAGTTTCTGGAATATGCTATAGG